CCTGCTGTAGCAGATTCATTCGTCTCCACCAACACAGGTAGGGAGGTGATTATCAGTGAGCCAGCAAAACACAGATTCTCAGTGTGGACACATTTGTAGGGATATGCCAGGGATTATGTTGGTGCCCTGTGCAAAGGCAGAGCAACATGTATCTTAAGAAGCTGTGCACTTTACCCTGATAATTACTTTATCTTGCCAATGCACACCCCGGCTAAGAGAGGTCCTATTTCCCACTGATGGACAATTCATTTCCATTCTAAAAGTGTTCCATTTACACCTCCAGCCAGCAGAGAGGTCTGCCCTGTAAGGATACAGGAGCCACGGTGCATGGCAGATAGCTCTTACTCTGTCTTCATGGAGCTGGGCGCAGTCTGGCGGATTAAATTGGCGTCTCCAGCCGGCGTGGCGACTGCCCCTGTCAGACGGTCGATTTGCTGTACAGCCGTTAGGCTGCACCTCTGCACTCGGTGGACATGTGTCAGCTGAATAACCTTTAAACTGATCTGAGGCCTGTGTTGAAGTGACAGATAGCCAGAAGGGGCTTGATGAAAGCCATAGCTGACGCCAACGAGGAAGCTCAGTGATCCATCCCTATCATACTTTATTCTGTACCTCCGCACGTGTCGGGGCTCTTAATATACTGCAATGAATACATCTCACAACATGCAGTTCAACATCAATTTGAGCCACAGACTGGCAACTTTACCAAGGCCAAAGAGATGAAGAGAGATGTATACGATGTTAGACCTGTTTGACCTGTGCTCCACTTCATCAAAGGCTGATAGGGTAATGGCGCATGCAGGACCATTCACGGCCCTTTTATTAAACACACAATCTTTAAACAATCCATTGACTGCCACAGGGAGTGCCACAGTTACCCTGTTTGCAGAGACTTATTGGAGGCTGTCTACTCTAGAGGAATGACTATGTTGTGTTAAATCAAACAGATTTGAAACACCTACCTGTATATCTACACTCTGTAGCAACATTATTATAGTGCAGCAAAAAGTCACAGAGTGGAGGCTGTGCATCTACAGGAGTCTGTCTTCCAACAGTCAACATAGATTTTCTTTCACTATGATGACGATCTTGGGGCATTTTAAGCCCAGTGCAACAAATTGTTGAAAACACCTTTGTTGAAAACTAGGCTAAAGTTGCCGGCCATGAAACCAAAAGAATGAACTGAAAGAGCCTAAAACGCTTAAAACAGCTAAACTGTGGAGTTGGGGGAGAATTCTCTTATTTTGTCAGCTTTCATTTTATGCTCAGTCATTTGATCCCATATTATCCAATTTTTTTTTAGAGCAGCTTTAACCAAATGGCTTTTTGTTGTATTGAATCAACCTAACCTTAAACGTAGAGGATGGCAGCCAAGAAACTAGTCTTTTGTGTAATTTGAGAACAACCCATCTTTTCAATTGTTATTAAATAGAACCGGAAATGGCACAGTGCGATGTACCTTTCTCGTGGCCGACATATTGAATTGCTGTACCTGGACAAACCGGTGTTACCGATGATGGCTCCATTCCATTGATATGTTCCAGGACTAGTCCACAAGGGATGATGGAGCAAAGCCATTATTAATGCTGTTTATAACATCCATGTTTTTTCTGATAACAATTATTGTATATAATGTCTGCTCTGCATTTGTCCATTTTTAGCATTACTTATTTTAAGTACAAGTTAGGCTTTTTTATATTATTCTAATTTAAATGTATAATCTGATCTGACTAACACTATGGATTAAAGGATTTAAAGCAACTTGTAGGGACGGTATGTACAAATCAAAGATTTCGATTTTGCACTTCAAAAAATAATTTGCATCAATTAATAAAAGATAATTACATATTAATCACAGAAATTGCTCCGATTACACGGTAATGAGAAGCTGCAACACTGGTAATCACTGTGAAATCAAATCATACATTGCTATCTTGCAGTTTCTGAATGCAACTGAACATATTTTCCATCAGTGGGAGTACTTTTATCATGAGCTGGACTTAAAGTGATGTTGATGTTTGCTATTCAGAGGACTCTCACGGCACACTGCTTATTTGCCCTCTTGTGGAACTCGTGTGGGATAAAAGGGGAGAAGGAAAGGTTTAACAGTTTCTTTTAATAACACAGACAACACGAGACGACCACAGACAACAGACACAGACAGGCTGGCAGACGGAGCTCTGACACACAGCAGGCACAAACACAGGAGCTGAACGGGGCCACGGCGGGGGCGCGGGACCCCCACTGTGGCCCCGAACACACCGACATGTAGTAGAAGCCAGCTGGGGGGGTTAGCCTGACACTTATGGGTGGAGAGGGAGCAGTACACAAAATGGATGCCAATCATATCCATGCAGAAGCCAGGGGAGTTTTGGGGGAGAGGATTATTAGTTAGTCTAGAGCTACGGTACAGTCCAGTACAGTGTGCATGCCACAAATGCCTTCTACTTGGAGCAACAGATAGAATAGAAAAACAGATATACTTTGTGGCAATAAAAGTCTTTTTATGCCATCTGCATTCAAACAGACATGTATATGCAGAAAGGCTAAAAGAAAGAGTGAGGAGGGGGGGGGGTAGGGGTGAGTCGGGGATGGAGAGGGGAGGGGTTAGCGCTCGGAAGGGGGAGACAGGGAGTCATTCTTTCACACACAACTTTCTTGAGACAGAATGGGGTTGCCTGCACAAGGCCAAAAAAAGGATGATGGCAAGAAAAGATTTTGTTGCCGTTCATTTCCCTATGTTGTATCGAAAATGGGGGGGGGGGGGGGGATGTTTCTCTAGAAGCCATGTGGCACGAAAAAAATGATAAACAACACAAACTTGATGAGGAGAACTTTGCAATTTTCCAACCACCAAAAGTTCATGCGGCACAAGATGAGGCAAAAACGGGAGGAGGGGCTTTATCCTTGCTTGGAGGATGGACGACGGATGATGAGGAGGACACCAAAGAAATAAAAACAAACGACCACAAGAAAATAAAAAATAAAAATCACCCCACTCGACCCGCCCCCCCAAAAGAAAAACAACCAAAAATAAAGCGAAGCAACCCAACAGCTGGGTCCGAATCGATACAGAGGAGATGTTCACATGTGCATCACAGGAGAAAATCCAAACCAAAATGCAACGGAAAAAGAAACAAACAAGTCATGCAACTGTTCATACGACTGAAAGCAGGGCAAGGAATGAGGATATGAATTTCTGTGTCCACATGGTGAAATGTACAGTATGTATGAGTGTTTATGACTACATATGTTGCCACTATATGAGGGGAGGGTACCATGTTCTCTCTAGTGAACTTACATTACGCTTTGTTGCACTTCCACTTTTGAGAATACTTGGGTTTGGGATTTTTTTTATAGTCTAATGAAAATGAAAAACAAAAGCACATGAGCTGCAGAAATGTGTCCATTCAATTTCAGTTAATCTCTGATTTAAGAGAGCAACTCATGCTTGGAGATAAAGGACCTCAATTCTTGCACGGAGACGCGGAGAAAATGGCTTTCTCCTCACATTAAAAGCCACGAGCGCGAAGGACCTAAATGTGGTCATCATTTCAAGGAAACAAATGGCGTGATAAGGCTTCAAAGTAAATGAGTTTCTCCCACAGATTGGAAGAAAAAAGGCAAAATGACTTATCTGCAAAAGTAAGCGGGAAAAAACCTAATTTCCGAGAAAGACAAATAAACGGGCGATTATCTGTAATGTTCTCCGAGCAGAGATAACAAAGCGAAAGGGCAACGCATTGTTTCAATTTAGACTTATTATTATTAGTAGCAGTGAAAAGCGGACAGGGGCTCGGTGCTGGGATGAGCCGTATTTAGGGAGATTAACGTGGCATCAATTAGTCCACTGTGATGGCGTTTTGAAGGACAGTGAAGCAATCAAATAGCTGGAGCTGTTAATGATTTCCAGAGCGCCTACGGGGAGACGCTTTTCACATACTGAGCCAGTTTTAATAGTGCTCACTCTCCTGGCTCTCTTCGTACTATAAGTATATGTGCCAGACACCCCTGGGCACACATGTGATTGACAGCTGTTGTTTAAAAGTCAACCAAACCCAAGTTTCCTCAAAAATAACCACCTTTTTAAAATCTACTGTTTAAATTCTAGCTGTGATTTTATATTCAAAATCCACTGAGTTTATCACTTTGATGCAGTTACAAAGTGATCTGTGTGTGTGTGTGTGTGTGTGTGAAGGGAGGAGGGGAAGAGAGACGATGCGCACAGAAATTCGAGGATATCTGTTCTCTATTAGAATGTTTCAGGTAAGGCAAGCCTCCGACGAAGGAAACAGAGGTACAAACGAGTAAAAGAAGAAGTAGAAGAAGAAGGAGGAGGAAGGAAAAGGTAGGAAGAGGCTCTGTTGCAGTTAGTCTGCTACATATCACAGTATCTATGCTGAAAGCATCTTTGTTCTCGAAAGAATCTCAAAATGTATCCTCTGTCAAGAGAGACGCACACACACGCACAGCAAGAGGAAATCAACCAGTCAATCAACCAGACAGATACATTTTGAAGCATCAGTGCGGGCGACATGACGCTTGATACTAATTTCGTACTTTGTTGAGTAAAGTTTTGCTCTCCACCGAATGCTGAGAACACAAAATTAGTATCAACGCTTCTTCATGTCTGCAACCAGTGCCCCATAGCTAAGTGTAACTTGTTCCAGAGATGGAAGGTGTGAGCTTTGACTACTGACTATAGATGTAAGCTTTACAGGTAACTCCCTACAGAGAGCATGCTAAGGATATAGGAGTTCTTTACTGCTTTCATCCATCTCCAAAGAGTTCTTTAAACTTTGGATATACACTGAGAACCCCTCACACTAGTGTATATTTCTCACAGTGGCTACTTTTCGGAGGGCTTTTTTTTTTTTTTTCAAAGTTACACTTGAAGCTCCCATGGGACATGATGCTCAGAGGAGAAGCTCCTCGGATAGCAAATCAAAGAAAGATAAGGAGAAATAGACCAGGTTGAGAGCAAGCACAAGTTGACACACCCATCCCACCTGCATGTCCGGAGTCGCACTCCTCCAGGTCCTCGTCGTCGCTGGAGCACTCCGCCGACGAGACAATGTCATCAGTCGTCTGTGGAGGAAGACACACATGCACAGGGAAACGTGGTTAGGCCTCTGGGGCAGCACACTGAGTCCTCATTTCACACAGCCAAGGATATCTCTGCACACACAGACCTCTCGCCTGTCCTTCGGCTTCCATATATCACTTGGAGTCAATCATATTTCACAGTGTTTATCATTCTTCACTTTATGTGCTTTCCACCTCCGCAGATAATTGTTTTCCTTCACCCTCCGCACTCTGCCCCGGATTATTTATCGGCCCTCTCCTCCTCTGTCGTCCACAATCAATGGCCCCAGCAGGCCCTCGCAGATCAACAATGTCCCGGCTTCTGATTTGTGCTAAAGGGTGCAGCAGGAGGGAGGGAGAGGGCGGATGGCTTTGCTAGCTACACCCCGGACCAGCCGATGGATTATCTGCACACTCCAGTTCCCACAATTCTGATTTATCCCGCCCCCCTCCCTTTCCCCCCCCGTCTTTTCGGGTCGACCCATGGAGGACAGAGGGGGGTGGGGAGGGGTAGTATTTCAGCTGTGGTGCGCTGGGCAGCCAGCGTTTATTAGAATGAATCAGCGGGGTGATAAAATAAGCCCTGTCACCAAGCAGGGTTATGAAATCAGAGCGCTGATTGAGTTTTCCAGGCCTGGCCGAGGGGCTCTAAATATCATTGAGTTTGACAGACTAATGAAACGCGCCCCCATGCTTGAGCTGCTGCTTTCAACCACACACACACACACACACACACACACACACACACACACACACACACACACACACACACACACACACACACACACACACACACACACACACACACACACACACACACACACACACACACACACACACACACACACACACACACACACACACACACACACACACACACACACACACACACACACACTTATACCCAAACCCCAGTGAGAAAGTTCACATTCCTAATGCGTGCTGTGATGTGTGATGGACTGTGCCATTTTCTGTATCACTACATTTGATCATGCGCTAATGCATGTGTGTTGCTTGTATGCATAATGCACCACATGATGTACTGTACTCCAACACGAGGAGGAAGGAAACGAAGCAGGGGAGGCTCTAGACTAAAGTGCTGTAAAATATGGCCCCTTGGTAAACATGACTATTTATTGAAGCAACATTAGAGGCGTAAAAGTCTTGGTTATCGCTGAAAGAGGGTTATTGCTTGTTATTATGATAGCGGCAGATGTGGGAGGCAGGGACACAGACAGAGAAGAGATGAAAAAGCAGCACTTCAAAGTTTGTTCCAGCAATTTCAGCCGAGCATCAGCTGAAAGCACTGCCTTTCTCCGGCCCATTCATGCAGCGTCTCTCTGCAGCTGATGCCGGCAGCCTCTCTCATTTCCATTGCCTTGGATGCAGCGGCATAGCAGAGTCTTGCACACCAATCTACATGTTTTAAATGTGACATTTAGCTGAATAGACAATCTGTTATTATCATTCTAGCTAGCTTGCTTATTTGGTAAATACAACCTGCAGACACGCACTTCATTATGTCAATTTAAAGGCGCCATTTGATGCTCTTCCTTGTAGTGTGTTATATAGGTTTAGTGCATGTAAATGGTCTACAAAGGCTCAGATCCCCAAGTTCCCTCCAGAGGGAGTTTCTTTTCCACACACATTGCCTCCATTCGACTCCTTTATTTACTTCTGTAACATAGTGACATCACTTTGTAACACTGAAAACTAGCAGTATTGTCCTGTCTAAATACAATTCAGAGTTTAATCTATCCGATGTTTATAGTTCATTTGGTAATAGGTTAGGATATTACGTTTTTTTAAATTATTCTGTATACTTTTATATTGTGTATTTCTACGTGTGCTCTATAGATATATATCGTTATATTATTAATATGTATATTTTCTTCATTTCGTTTTTTGCTGCTGTGACTAAAACATTTTCACTTTGTAATAAACAAAGTATTTTATCTAATAGAATCAAATCGGATTTTATTTATTCGAATCTAAGGACATTTGTTTGTAACTGTTGTTAAGGCAATTTGAACAAAACTTCCAATATGTCGAGTCAAACACGGGTCAAATCTGAATGATGTTTTTATGCACATATATAACAAGGTTACTTTTCTCCAAGGAAGTGAATTTCTACACATTATGTTAACAAGGAACTGGGTGTCTGTAAGGGATTAGAGAAATCTGGACTCATGTAGTTTCTGCATGATTGATGAAGGCTGCAGCAACACATGGCAATACAGAGAGAGATATAAAGACATCTTCTTAAGAGCACCGTAATACATTTGTAATGTCTACCATTTCTCATGCATAAAGAAAATAAAATCTGTTGAATAAACCATAACATTCTCTAATGAGATATTTAAGTTGTAGACTCTTCTCATGTCACTTAATTCTGTAGACATTTGCATTCATTCATATTATATACGGTGTTCCCCGGATGAAGAAAAAACTGCTATGATCATCAGACTCCCTAAATGCTGCATATAGTATCCATGCAGCACATCCCACCGTGTGAGCAGAAAGGCTTTACATGAGACAGACTTCACTTTGACTGTCAGACTGCAGGAGATATATAAGCAGCATGATTTCATTAAAAACACATTTATTAGAGCGGTGGCTCCCAAGGTTCTTTTTCTGAAGAACCACCTCAGAACCATCAATTTAGCTGAAGTGTCCCTTTATCATCACACAGAAGGGTTCTTTTACATTTAAAATAGATGTCATTTTATATTCATATTTTTTAAGGCTCCTCTACCGCAGTCACCCCTGGTTAAAACTGGCCAGGGACCCTTGTGGCATCTTTCTGTTTGTCATTTCCTGCAGTCTGTACCTCATAATAAAGGCTTAAAAACAGCCACAAATGTTTTGGTAAACAACATTGGCCTTAAGACCCTCTTCTTTCGGCAGGCCTTCCAATACACTTTGAGCATGGTACACCTGGAGTATTGCCATTTCTATTGCTATCTCCGACTTTTATTTTAATTTAATTTTTAATTTTAAATAATAATAATTATTATTATTTGTTTAATCTCTCAAATTGTATCAGTGTCCTTTGTTGTGAAGCGCTGCGAGATTTGTCTGGGCAGATGAGAAGCGCTATATACATTAAATGTATTATTTATTATTATTATTGGAGTATATGTGGAAATTCATGAAAATACCTGCAGTACCTGAACTACACACTCAACTTGTGCTATGAACATTTACATACGTTTATGTATCAGAATCAGTTTTAGTGCAAGTACGTTCACACATAATGGTGCATATACTGTATAAAAACAATAAGAGAAATTAGGATTTAGAGAAATTGACAAATACATATTCATAATAAGATATTTGCAGAAGGAATATTGAATTTAAGTCTAAAACATTTAATATATTTGAAAAAATATTATCGTTATTTCCCCATCAAATTAGTTTAGTTACAGTCTCCGAGTGTAGCCCCTGACAATTTGCAGTATTACCCCCTGGGGTACACTTCCCCCTGGAATCAGTGTATTATGGGGAAAACAGAGTTGATATTAGACCAGTGTCTGATAGGCCATGGAGGTAATGGTGATCACGCAATATTATTCAACTATCATTGAGTTGAGAGATGAAATGGAAAATTTTGGAAAGACTTAGCAGACAAATGGGACTAGTTCCATGTAACATTTCTACAATGACTGACATGACTGTTGAAGAAGGTGTTGATTAGGATGGCCAATCAATGTGATGTCAAATGGCACGGCTTTTAACCCAGAGCTAAGCCTCCCGGAAACTATTGATAATCTCTCCGCTCTCTTGACTTGTCTGGCCAAAGCCCTGCTGCAGCTGGACAATCCTTATGGACTTCATCGTCAAGCCAATTCGCAGATAAGAGAGGGACTGATGTATTGTAAAGGTGACATTTCATTGGCAGAAAGGACACACTCAAGAGTCAATGTGTTCACCTTGCATTTGACCAAACCATCGTAGTAAGAGACCCTCTAATCAAAACGACTACGATACCACTCGAATAAATTCAAGAGGGCTTTTGAAGTGCCAAGTTAGACATTTGTAGATCCACTAGATAAGCGGCTGATCCATTTTCATAAACACACGATATATCTCTAAGTGTCACAACAGTTCACACTGCTGATCAAGGGATTAGGGTGCTATTTTTCCCGCGTTCGGTGCTAATGCTTAACCAATGAAGCTCACAATCTTCTCCCAGTCCACCGGAGACGTCTATGATAACGTATAGCATGATGCTGTAAATGCAAAGGGTGCTCATGGAGCGGAAAAGACGCATAAGTGTGCAGCGACGATGGGAGCCTACAGCGGGGTATAGCAAAATGATGCGGTTGGCCAGCGGGACAACACAAACTGATTTCACAGCTGGGGAAATCCAATTCTCTCTTTAAATCTCCATAACATAGAGTGGGATATATTTTGGCAGCAAAGTGATTTCATTTTCGCTGTAATTATTCTCAACAAACGTCATTTTTAAGAGAGTGGGTGGCGGGATTTACAGGCAGTTGTTCTGTGTGTGTGTGTGGGAAGCTCTAATATACACATGCCTTCTACTTCCTGTGTCTATAATACGGGATAATTCCAGAACATAAAAACTCAGAGGCTATGTGCGTCGTGCCTGATTATCCCGATTACCCTGCCTTCGAGTGACGCGCAAATTCCTAACGCCACAAGCAAACGCCACGGCCAAAATCAATAGGCAGACTTCATTAAAACAGCCTTTACCTCTGACCACTTCAGCACATCAACTAAAAGGTGCACGCCGGCGGTCGATGGGGATAGACAGCCTTCGTGGGAGAGCGGTCTCAGAACACACAGCTTTTAGTTTCACAAGTGATGGCGAAGACACTGACAAAGCAGAGAAGGCGCAAAGATGCTGGGTGCTTCTGTTTCGACAAAGCTTCTGGGCCGTGAATCAGCCGGCAGCAATGCAGATAGCATTAACAAGCGGAGCTGCAATTACCTCAGCTGCTGAATGGATGCACGCTCCATCACCAGTCAGGCCTGAC